TCCATCCACCCATCCATCCATCCATCCACCCATCCATCCATCCATCCCTCCATCCATCCCTCCATCCATCCATCCACCCATCCACCCATCCATCCATCCACCCATCCATCCCTCCACCCATCCATCCATCCCTCCACCCATCCATCCATCCCTCCACCCATCCATCCATCCATCCATCCATCCCTCCATCCACCCGCCCATCCATCCATCCCTCCACCCATCCACCCATCCCAGTAGTCAGATGGCCAACCCGGCCTTGGCTGAGCCTGCTCCAGCCTCCCATCCCATTCCATGACTCCATACCAGTTGGACAGGATGAGCCATCCCTGGCAGGGGCTGCCCAGGGAGGTGGTGGAGTCCCCACCCCTGGAGGTGTCCAAGGAATGACGGGATGTGACACTTGGACAAGGCGGGGATTGGCCCGATTGGACTCAGTGACCTCGGAGCTCTTTTCCAACCTTTACAATCCTGGGATTTCACGATCCCAAAGCTCTTTCCCAGCCTAAAAGACTCCCTGGTTCTATGAATCCAAGCTGGATGATTCCAAGTGCCAGGCTGGGGAGGGAGCAGGACCTCACCCCAACCCCACTGCCCTTCCAGGACCTTGGGCACGAAACACTACCCCATAAACTCTATCCCATAAACGCTATCCCATAAACACCATTCCAGCTCTGCCAGACCCAGGTGACACATCCCAGCTCCTTTCCTGGCAGAGTGCTTCCCTCCAGCCATCTGGGCTCCAGCCCAGCCATTCCCAGGCACTGGGAAGCTGGAGTGTGCACACGGGGGGGGGCTGGGACCGGGGGGGCAACCAGCCCCCCTCGGGAACTACAGCCGGGAATTGTGGGATGAGGGGCTGGGGAGTGGGATGAGGGGCTGGGGAGTGGGATGAGGGGCTGGGGGTTGGGGGATGAGAGTCAGGGGGTGTGGGATGAGAGTCAGGGGGTGTGGGATGAGGGGCTGGTGGTGTTGTGGGATGAGGGGCTGGGGGGTGTGGGATGAAGGCTGGGGGTTCTGGGATGAGAGGCTGGGAGAGTAGTGGGATGAGGGGCCAGGGGGGTTGTGGGATGAGGGGCTGGTGGTGTTGTGGGATGAAGGGTCCAGGGGGGCTGTGGGATGAAGCGTCCAGGGGGGCTGTGGGATAAGGGAACAGGAGGGTTGTGGGATGGAGGGCTGTGGGATGAAGGGTCGGGGGGCTGTGGGATGAGGGGTTGGGGGGGTGTGGGATGAGGGGCCAGGGGGTGTGGGATGAGGGAACAGGGGGGTTGTGGGATGAGGGGCTGGGGAGTTGTGGGATGAGGGTCAGGGAATGGTAGGATGAGGGGCCAGGGGGTTGTGGGATGAAGGGTTGGGGGGCTGTGGGATGAGGGGTGAGGAGGTGTGGGATGAGGGGCCAGGGGGTGTGGGATGAGGGGCTGGGGGTTGTGGGGTGAAGGACCAGGAGACTGGTGGGATGAGGGGCCGGGGGAGTTGTGAGATGAGGGGCTGGTGGTGGTGTGGGATGAGGGGAGGGGGAGTTGTTGGGATGAAGGGTGGGGGTTGTGGGATGAGGGGTGGGGGTTGTGGGATGAGGGGCTGGTGGTGTTGTGGGCTGAGGGGCCGGGGCAGACGCTTGTAAAAGCCCTGCTGTGGTTTCCCGGCCCAGCCCAGCCCAGCCCAGCTCACAGCTGGTTCCCAGATCTCCTCCAGGTCAAGCTCCACACTTTGTTCTGCTCTTTGAACTCACTGCCATTAAAGCAGAGGAAGGTGAAAGGCAGGGGGTGGCACAGGGGGGACCCGCTGCTCCAACACCTCCCCAGCCCCAGCTGAAAACCCCCTGCTTCCCTCCTTCTCCTCCTCCTTCTCCTCCTCCTCAGGGAGAACCAGGAATTTAGACCTCAATTCCCAAGAGCAGGAGAGGGATCAGTGCTGGGCTGTGCCTCGTTTTGTGCCTCTGACGACCCCCTTGATGTGGTGGCCCCAATACTGCCACATTAAAATTTGACAGGGGATATTGGGAAGGAATTCCTGGCTGGGAGGGTGGGCAGGCCCTGGAATAAATTTCCCAGAGAAGCTGTGGCTGCCCCTGGATCCCTGGAAGTGTCCAAGGCCAGGCTGGAGCAACCTGGACTAGTGGAAGGTGTCCCTGCCATGGTTAAACGGGATGATCTTTGAGGTCCCTTCCCACCCAAACCATTCCATGATCCCCCCAGGACCTAAACACCCCTTTTATGCCTTAAAGCAGAGTTTTCTCACAGAGGCAACTCCTGCCCCAAGGGTGTGGGTCAGAGGGGCACCAGGTGATGCCCAGGGTGGTCAAAGGGTCAGTGTTGGGGTGGTCAAGGGGTGGTTTTTGTGCAAACAAGGAAACACCTCCCCAGGTCTGGGAGATATTCCCAGATAGGGCAGAGGTTGGTTTTGCCCTTCCAGCTGCCCCCTGAGCCCTGAGGTGATCCCTGGGCACCGTGTGTGTGATCCTGTCTCCATCTAGTGACCCAAAACGAGATTCCTCCAGCAGCTGGAACATCAGGCTGGAGCTTCTCAGCCCAGGATGGACTTCAGAGCTCCCACAGCCCAGGGAAGTCACCCAAGGTCAGTGTTCCTGTGGCTGCACTGCAGGTCTGGTTCAATCCCAGGGTTTGGGGCACGGCCAAGCCTGGGAATGGTGCAGATCCAAGCTGGCCAGGGAGGTGGGGAGGATGGGGATGTGCCCACCAACCTGTTCTGGCCTCCATGGTACCCCCCCCATGAGCTCCAGCTCCACCCCTTGCTCTGGACAAAGGAAACTCCGCTATCCCAAAAGCTCCCAGTGCCCTTACCCTGCTCAGACAGGACGTACTCCTGATCCCTGAAGATGATCCGGTCGGATTTGTAGGTGGGAGCCTTGTAGTTGTGCTGCAGGGAGAAGAGGTGGAGCAGCTGGGAAGGGCGGAGCTGGTCCCGCCACTGGTTGGGCCCGGAGCTGAAACCAAACAGGACCAGGGAATTATGGAACGGGTTGGGTTGGAAAGACCTTCAAAACCATCCAGTTCCAGGGGCAGGGGACACCTTCCACCATCCCAGGTTGCTCCAAACTGGCCTTGGACACTCCCAGGGACGGGGCATCACCAACTTCCCCGGGCAGGCTGTGCACGGGGAGCGTCCCCAGCTCGGTGTGCCCGGGAGACACCGGGGGTGTGACGGGATCTCCCCGAGCATTTCCACGTTATCTGCCCCATTTGGGGCTCCTGGAGGAGAACCAGCACGGAGGGAAGTGTAGGTGCCCCTGGGGACCCCCCTGGTGCCCCCCCCGAGCCCCCCAGGGCCGGTACCCACACGCAGTAGGTCTGGGGCAGCCCGCAGCGCGCCCCGTAGCGCGACAGGAAACGGTTCTCCAGGTCGATGACGGTCTCCCCGATCTTCTCGTCCTTGGACAGCAGGTCGTAGTCGTACAGGGCCACCCGCAGGTCCTTCTCCAGGGGCAGGGTGCAGCTCAGCTCGAACATCCTGCACGGGGTGGGAGACATGGACGGGATGGGGGAGCCCTGGGAGGGACCCACTGCCCATCCCAACACCCCACTGGGAGGGACCCACTGCCCATCCCAACACCCCAATGGGATGGACCCACTCCCCATCCCAACCCCCCAGTGGGATGGACCCACTCCCCATCCCAACCCCCCAGTGGGATGGACCCACTCCCCATCCCAACACCCCACTGGGATGGACCCACTCCCCATCCCAACACACCAGTGGGATGGACCCACTCCCCACCCCAACCCCCCAGTGCCAGGGCTGTGTCGTGCTGGCTCAGTTTATCATGGAATCATGGAATGGTTTGGGTTGGGAGGGACCTGAAAGTTCATCCAGTTCCACGGGCAGGGACATCTCCCACCAGCCCAGGGTGCTCCAACCTGGCCTTGGACACTCCCAGGGATCCAGGGGCAGCCACAGCTTCTCTGCCCAACCTGGGACAGGGCCTCCCCACCCTCCCAGCCAGGAATTTCCTCCCAATATCCATCTAAACTCATCTCCCTGTCCATCCTGCTTTGCTGGGAAGGTGCCACTGGCAGCCTGAACTGGCAGGAGCTGCCTCAGGAAACCATGTTTATGGATAATTCTTTTCCAAGACATCCCACTTGGAGGTGTCCCGTCCCACAGCCCCAAACAGGTCTCCATCCATCCCATTTTTCCTCCAGACATCCAACCAAATCCCCTAAACGAAGAGTAGAATTTCCCTGGACTCCCTCTACCACCAGTGGGATGGGGATTATTCCTCCCCAAGGGAATTCCAGGTCTAAACAACCCTCCTGGTGTGTCCATTGATGACGGAGCAGAGCCAGTTCCACAGCTTGGAATTCCCAGGGAGAAGACGAACAACAGCCAAGGGAATCATGGAATGGTTTGGATGGGAGGAACCTTAAAATCCATTGGGATGGGAGGAACCTTAAAATCCCTCTAATTCCACCCCCTGCCACGGGCAGGGACACCTTCCACTATCCCAGGTTGCTCCAAGCCTCATCCAGCCTTGAGTGCAGGTTGGAACGGGAAGCTCTGGCTCATCCAGCACAATTCCCTCGACGTGACACAAAAAAAATCCCCCGGATCCCAAAGTGAATCCACACTCACTTCCCAAAGACAGGCTCCAGGGTGCAGGGCAGGTAATTCTCCTGGTCGTTGATGGATTTCTTTCCCACGGAAATCTTCACGTAGGGATCGCACTGGGGGGGGGGGAAGAGACAGGGAATCATGGAATGGGGTGGGAAGGACCTGAAATCCCACCCAGTCCCACCCTGGGCCAGGATGCTCCAAACCCCCCCCCTCTCACAGTTCCAGCAATCTTGGGAACTCAGCATTCCTTTAAAAAGGGGTTAAATTAACTCAAGGGCAAGAATAAAAAAAAGTCGGGAAAACGATCCAACTGCACCCAAAAGATTCCACCCAGCTCAGGGCCAGGGACCCCCCATCCCGAAAAAATTCCCTGGAAAAGGCACCCGGCACCAGTTCCTCGTCACTCTTCCCGGATTTGCCTTTTCCTGGAGATTTTTTTTTATAAGGAATGGATGGAAAAGCACCAGTCAGGGAATGGATACCCGGGATTCCCCAGGAGAATTCCCAGCCCGGGGGGTCAAATTCGGGTCAGTTTGGGGGTTTTTGGTGTGAAAAAAGAGCCTATTTATTTTTAATCCCCAGGAGTCAGTTATGGGAGATTTCCAAGGACTGGAAAAACCTCATTCCAAACCCATTTTCAAAAACCGGGCAGGTTCAAAAGCAGTTTCATTTTCTTCATACATTTTTCATGTATTTCATACAGATTTCACACTTTTCATATATTTTTATATATTTCATATATATTTCATATATATTTCATATATATTTCATATATATAAAATTTCTTATTTTTCATACATATATTTTATATCTATTTCATATATATAATATTTTTCATACATTTCTCTTAGATATTTAATATCTATATTAATATAATATATTATATTAATATCTATATTAATATAATATATTATATTAATATCTATATTAATATAATATAATATTAATTTAATATAATATCTATAATATCTATATTATTTCCCCTCTATATTTCATATCTCTTTCTTCACCTATTCAAATATCTCCCATCGTTTTCCTTAATTTTTCCCCTGTTTTCCAGTGGGAACAAAGACAGTTAAAAAGGATCTTTCCCTGAGATATTTTGGGGGGGGGGGGGGGGGACAAGTGACCCAAAGTGAACAAATAAAATAGAATAAAATAGTATAGAATAGAATAAAATAAAATAGGATAGTGTAGAATAAAATAAAATAGTATAGAATAAAATAGTATAGAATAGAATTAAATAAAATAGTATAGAATAGAATAAAATAAAATATTATAGAATGAAAAAAATAAAATAGTATAGAATAAAATAAAATAAAATAAAATAGTGTAGAATAAAATAAAATAGTATAGGATAAAATAAAATAAAAAAGTGTAGAATAAAATAAAATAAAAAAGTGTAGAATAAAATAGTGTAGAATAAAATAAAATAAAATAAAATAAAATAAAATATTATAGAATAAAAAAATAAAATGGTACAGAAGAAAATAAAATAGTGTAGAATAAAATAATAAAATAAAATAAAATAAAATAAAATAAAATAAAATAAAATAAAATAAAATAAAATAAAGACCCAATTGCCTTTTTGCCTTAAATTTTCCTTCCGCACTGGCAAAGGAATTCCTTGGAAAGAGAGAATTTTGTCGCCCTTTGGCACCAAAACCCCCCAAAAAACCCGCCAAAGAGCCAAAACTCCTTTCCACATTTGAACTAACCCTACGGAAAAATCCCTGTGGGAGGAGGAGGAGTTGGCTCTGGCATTCCCAGAGTCCCAACGGAGGCAGAAGAGAGGGACAGATCCCCGAATTTTGAGCGGAATCGGCGGATTTTGGTCGATTTTAATCAACCTGTGCCAAGATCCCGCCCCGGAGGCAGCGCGGAGCCCATTCCCAGCGGGATCCCGGGATACCTTCCCGTTGGGGTCCTTGGGCTGCAGGTCGAAGGCCCTGACGATGTAGACCCGGAGCAGACACTCCTGGAGGCCCCGCGCCGGGAGCTGCCGGAACTGCCGGGGCGGCGCCGGCACACGCGGATCCTCGGGAAGGGGGTAGATCCTGAAGGAACCCTGGGAAGGACACGGGAGTTCAGGAGAGATGGGTATCCCGAATGGATGGCGGGACGGATCGTGGAATCGTGGGATGGGATGGGATGGGTTGGGTGGGATGGGATGGGATGGGTTGGGATGGGTTGGGATGGGATGGGATGGGATGGGCTGGGATGGGAGGGGGTTGGGTTGGGTTGGGTGGGATGGGATGGGTGGGATGGGTTGGGTTGGGTTGGGTTGGATGGGTTGGGTTGGGTTGGGATGGGTTGGGATGGGTTGGGTTGGGATGGGATGGGTTGGGATGGGTTGGGTTGGGTTGGGTTGGGATGGGTTGGGTTGGGTTGGGTTGGGTTGGAATGGGATGGGATGGGATGGGATGGGAGGGACCTGAGAGGTTGTCTCGGGCCTGTGTGGGAAGAGACACCTCCCACTATCCCAGGGGCTCCAGCCTGGCCTTGGACACTCCCAGGGATTCAGGGGCAGCCACAGCTTCTCTGGGAATGTCATCCCAGGCCCTCCCCACCCCCACAGCCAGGAATTCCTTCCTGATATCCCACCTAACCCTGCCCTCTGGCAGTTTGAAGCCAGAATGGATTCATGGAACCATGGAATGGGTTGGGATGGGAGAGACCTTAAATCCCACCCAGTTCCACCCAGGGACACCTTCCACCATTCCAGGTTGCTCCAACCTGGCCTTGGACACTTCCAGAGATCCAGGGGCAGCCACAGCTTCTCTGCCCAACCTGGGCCAGGGCCTGCCCACCCTCACAACCAGGAATTCCTTCCCAATATCCCATTTAAATCTCCCCTTTTCCAGTCTGAAGCCATTCCCTGTGTCCTGTCCCTCCATCCCTTGTCCCCAGTCCCTCTCCAGCTCTCCTGGAGCCCCTTCAGGCCCTGCCAGGGGCTCTCAGCTCTCCCTGGAACCTTCTCTTCTCCAGGGGAACCCCCCCAGCTCTCCCAGCCTGGCTCCAGAGCAGAGGGGCTCCACAATCCTGGGATGGCTTGGGTGGGAAGGGATCATAAATCCCACTGATTCCACCCCTTGCCCTGGGCAGGGACACCTTCCTCTCTCCCAGGTTGCTCCAACCTGGCCTTGGACGCTCCCAGGGCTGGGGCAACCCCAGCTCCTGTAATTCCTGTAATTCCCGGCCCCCTGGAACGGTTTGGGTGGGAAGGGCCCTCCCAGTCCCCCCAATTCCAGGCCCTGGGAGCCGCCCCCACCTTGAACTCCCCCACGACCGAGGGGTCGTCGCCGCAGTCGCGGCTCCGGCCCCGGAGCAGGGGGAAGGTGTGGCAGAAGTCACAGAGGTGCTCGAACTCCTCCAGCTCCTCCAGCTCCGTCTCGTAGACCTGCAGGGAGAGACGGGATGGGGACGAGGATCCCTCCAACCTCCTCAGGCCCGGGAAAACCCCCCCAGGGATAAAATCCCGGGATCTCCCACCCCCTGGGATGGGGCTGGAGAGTCTGGCGACCCTACAATAAACACCAGCCCATCCCAAAGGGCTCCTCCGGGGTTTCCCACCAGACCCATGTTCCCGCTGGGAATGTTTTCCTTGAGGGTAGGAAAGGTCTTGTCCCGTTTTAGCCCTGCTGGGGCCTGGGTGTTAAATCCTGCCCCGTTTTTCTCATTCCCAAACAATTCCTAGGGCGGCCCTTCCTCAGCCACTTCCCAAGTGACATTTCCTGAAGGCAGCAGAGCTCCCAGAGAGGGTTTTGCAAAGCAATTTGGATTTTCAAAATAGGTATTTTTAAAACAATACTATTTATATTTTTATATAAAATTATATTTTTAAAACAATAATATTTATATTTATGTTTATATATAAATTATATTTTAAAGCAATAATATTTATATTTATATATAAATTGTATTTTAAAACAATAATATTTGTATTTAGATTTATATATAAAATTATATTTTTTTAAACAATAATATTTATATTTATATTCCTATATAAAATATCTTTTAAACAATAATATTTATATTTATATTTTATATAAATTATATTTTTAAACACTAATATTTTTATTTATAAATAAATTGTATTTTAAAACAATAATATTTATATTTTTATATAAAATTATATTTTAAAATAATATTTATATATAAAATATATTTTAAAACAATAATATTTATATTTATACATAAGTTATATTTTAAATAATAATATTGATATATATTTATATATAATTATATTTTTAAACAATAATATTTATATTTACATTTATATATAAAAATCTATCTTAAAATGATAATATTTATATTTATATATAAAATATATTTTAAAACAATAATATTTGTATTTATATTTTTATATAAAATTATATTTTTAATGATTATATTTATGTTTATCTTTATATTTATATATAAAAATTATATTTTTAAACAATAATATTTATATTTATATAACATATATTTTTAAACAATAATATTTATATATAATTTTTAAAACAATAATATTTATATTTTATATAAATATATTTTGAAACAATAATATTTACATTTTTATAAAAATTTTAAAACAATAATATTTATATTTATATAATATATATTTTAAACAATAATATTTATATTCATATATAACATATATTTAAACCAATAATATTTATATTTATATATAAAATATATTTTTAAAACAACACTTACCTTTAAAACAGAATTTTATTTTTAAAACAATATCTGATTTTAAAACAACACTTACCTTTAAAACAGTATTTTACTTTTAAAACAATATATATTTTTAAAACAAAACTCATCTTTAAAACACAACTCATTTTAAAAACAACACCCATTTTAAAACCAACATCCATTTGGAAAATATTCCAATTTTTTTTCCCTTGGGGAAACGTCCTAAAATTCCCCAAAAATTCCCGGCGAGGAGATCCGAGGAGCCGGAAATCAGGGAATGCCCTCACCTTCAGGGTGTCCAAGCCCTTCTCCAGGTAGGAGCCGCATTTTTCCCTCTCTCCTATGGAAGCGTAAAACTTGCTCCACCAGTCGATGAATTCTTCCTCCTGCAGGAAATCCCAGAGGAAAAAAATCCAAGGAAAAATCCCAAATTCCGGAGCCGAACTCCTGCCCTGACCCCAGTGCCGGGGGTTGGATCCCCCCGGGAGCTCCTCCGGCCCCCATTCCAGGGGATTTGGGGGATTCTCCTGGCCCAAATCCGTGACCCTTCTCCTGGGAGGATGGTTCTCCTTGGAAGGGCAAAGTAGAGCTCCCAGGAAAACAACGGGAGCGTTTTTAGGGAGATTCCGGCCCTTTGGAAGGTGCTTTTCCCGGGATTCTCCGTGCGGGACCACGCGGGGAACGAGACAAATGGACCCTGGCGCCACGATTTTGGGGACAGGGATTGACTTCCTGGTTGTGTCCCGGCACCACCCAACCCCCCCATCCCGACCCGGCCTGGGGGGGAAGGAAGAAATCCCTCCAATCCAGACATTCCCAGGAAAAATTAAGGACAAAACCCTCTTCCCACGATATCAGACCAAAAAGCAGGAAAATCCCACCCAGTTTCACCTCCCCCCAGGAAGGAGCAGTCGCCTCATTCCCGGCGCAAACCACTCCAGCCCCAAGAGGAAAACCACGGATTTTCCGAGAATCCCGGTTTTTTAAATTCCTAAAGCAAAGCCGGAGGGGCTTTGCCTGCGCTCCACGAAACATTCCCGCGGAACATTCCCACAAAATAATGATGCCTGATTCCAGAAGGCCACAGAATTCCAGGAATTACACCAGAGGTTTCTTGGAATTCTGTTGGAAGCCAATGGTGCGGGATTTCCATTGGACAGGCGTTGGATTTCATGGGAATATCACACAAATTAATTCCCTTTTTTTTTTTTGGAAAATCCTACTTTGCCTTCCATGACTTCCCCCGTTTTCGTGGAGCGTCGTGGCTTTCCTGGGACATCCCCCAGGGTTCCAAGGAAAGCCCTTGGATTCATCCCAGGACTTACCCACGGGATCTTCTGCAGCCCCAAGGAAAGGGGGGGGGGGAAAGATTTTAGTGGATTTTTACGGATGTTAGGACAAAAAAAACTGGGACAAATTAAAAAAGGGAGGGAAGGGGAGCAGCTGGAATGTTAATAGGGAAGGGTATGAATCCATTTGGGAATGGGACAGGCAGGGAGAGCAATGGATCCACCACGCCAAGGATGGATTGAGGGATTTCATGGAGCAACCAAGGGGGGGTCAAAATTCCCTCCAGGGATCCCAAATTCCCTCCCAGGTATCCCAAATCCACTCCAGGGATCCCAGATTCATTCCCAGGGATCCAAATCCACTCCAGGGATCCCAGATTCATTCCCAGGGATCCAAATCCACTCCAGGGATCCCAGATTCATTCCCAGGGATCCCAAATCCCCTCCAGGGATCCCAGATTCATTCCCAGGGATCCCAAATCCCCTCCAGGGATCCCAGATTCATTCCCAGGGATCCCAAATCCCCTCCAGGGATCCCAGATTCATTCCCAGGGATCCCAAATCACTTCCAGGGATCCCAAATTCCTTCCCAGGTATTCCAAATCCACTCCAGGGATCCCAGATTCATTCCCAAGGATCCCAAATCCCCTCCAGGGATCCCAGATTCATTCCCAGGTATCCCAAATCACCTCCAGGGATCTCAAATCCCTTGCAAGTATCCCAAATTCCCTCCAGGTAGCCAAAATTCCCTCCAGGAAGCTAAAATTCCCTCGAAATGCCCAAATCACCTCTGGAAAGCCAAAATTCCCTTGGGACACCCAAAATTCCCTTGGGACAGCCCAAATCACCTCCAGGTATCCCAAATTCCCTCCAGGGAGCCAAAACTCCCTCCAAGTGTCCCCAAATCCCTTCCAGGTAGCCCAAATGACTTTGGGATAGTCAAAATTCCCTCAGGATATCCCAAATCACCTCCAGTGGTTTATCCTGGACACTGTCCAGAGGGTCTCCAGGTCGGGATCTGTTCCCTGAGCCTGGAGCAGGTGGTTGAGGGACCTCCTGCATTCCCTCTCCAGCTTTTCCATGGATCCCACGGGATCAACCCCCGGCTGAGCATCACTTGGGGGATAAATTTAATCCCAAGGGATCAAAGCCTCCAATTTGAGCTTGGAAAGGGGCTCCTCCAGACCTGGAAGTGAGTTATCCAGAGGTTTCCTGTCTCCCCATCCCTGTTCTCCCGGAGCAGGGATCACCACAAGGTGGGCTGGCACCTTTATCCCAATTCTCCCAGGCTGGAATCACGATCCCAAACGTTTTCCCGCTCACTACTGGGATAAAGTCCAAGCCTTTCCAGCTCCAGGGAGCCCAGCTTTGGAATTCTCTGCTAACACGGGAAAATCCACCTTTAACACGGGATCAGCGGGATGATCCAGGATTATTTCACCAGTGGGACCAGCTCATCAGTTTTCCAGGGAAAGGGAAGCAGGAGAGCCCATTCCAGGGGGGAATCCCAAAGACAGAAATATCTTATGGCCAAAAGCTTCCAGAAATACAGAAATTCCAGTATTATTTTTTTTTTAATGCCTTAAATCCCCGGAATTCCCCAGTGGGCTGAAATTCCTGGGATTGTGGTTTGGGCACAGCCAGGGCACTCAGGGAACGTGCTGAGCTTCCACGGAGTGGGGAAACCTCTGGGGAATCCCTGAGGTTCCTCAGACATGGCCTGGAGGATCCCTGGATCAGGGCTTGGGATCAGCAGAGCTGCTGCTTCCTCCTCCCTCGGGATAACAGGGAATGGGGTGGGAGCTCTGCCTGATCCCCCAGCTCTTCCCTCCCTTGGATCCCCAAACCCACTCCTGCGTCACCCCAACGGCTCCGGGGACGTTTTCAATCCCATTTTTTCCCAATCCCGGGGGGAATTCCCTGTTTTTAACCCCATTTTGGTCGGGAAGGCCGAGCCGCAGGGATTTCCCCCCCCTGCCCAGGGTTCCCTGTGACCACGAGCCCATCCCATGGGATGCATTCCCAACGGAGATCCCAGGAACCTGGGCTTGTCCAGCACAACCCAGCTGTCCCAGGAGTTGTTGGAATGGCTGTTTCAGCCTGGAGAAAGACGTGGAAAGCTGGGAAATTCCCACACCATGGACAAATCAGCTGCTGGTGGAACTTAATCCCTACCAGCACCTTCCAGGGCAACTGAGGCAGGGCCAGGATGGGGCCCAGGCAGAGCCTGGAGCGGAGCAGCAGCGGGAAAACGGGAGCCTCGATCCTTATCCCTGTTCTCCTGCTCACTCCGGCTCTTCCCAGTGGGAATACAGAGAATTACAGCAACAAACCTGCCCAAAGCAGCTGAGCCACCACCTCAGGCTGGGCCTGCTCATCCCTCACGGCTGGAGGCACAATTCCTGCCGGGGGAAAGCTCTGGAGCTGGGATGGGATGATCCCTCTGGAAAAGGCCGGGATGTCCAGGCCTTTCCCCTGGTTCCTCCAGCCCATCTGGGCTGGGTTGAAGGGAGGATTTCTCCCTTCTCCCTTCAGGAAGGAATTCCTGCCTGGGAGGGTGGGGAGGCCCTGGAATGAATTTCCCAGAGAAGCTGTGGCTGCCCCTGGGTCCCTGGAAGTGTCCAAGGCCAGCTTGGAGCAACCTGGGATAGGGGAAGGTGTCCCTGCCTGTGGCAGGGAGTGGGACTGGATGGGATATTAAGGTCCCTTCCAACTCAAACCATTCCAGGATTCTACAGTTGGGAATCTTTCCTCCCAGACCCCTGCAAAATGTAACAAGTGGTGAGGACACAGCTCCAAATTTGGGATAAAACCAGAGACAGGACAAAGGGGAATGGCTTCCCACTTCCAGAGGGCAGGGAGAGATGGGACATTGGGGAGGAATTCTTCCCTGTGAGGATGGTGAGGCATGGGAATGAATTTCCCAGGGAAGCCGTGGCTGCCCCTGGAAGTGTCCAAGGCCAGGTTGGAGCAACCTGGGAGAGTGGAAGGTGTCCCTGGAACTGGATGGGAACTCCCCTCCCAAGCCAAGCCATTCCATGACTCCATTGTGGGAATCCAGCATTCCCTGCGGATTGATCAGGGAGGGCTTTTTCCCCCCTGGCCAGGGGCTGTCTCCCAGTTGGGAATAAAAGGAAGAGGGGGAACATTCCGGGAGGCAGCTCCTTGGCAGCCATTCCCAGGAGGAGACATCCAGAGCCAGGAGCTCTTCCAAGAGCCGGTAACCGGAGAAGCCGTGAAATGTGTGCTGGGCTCCGCGGGGAGCAAAGCCAGCAAACAACCAATTAGCCCAAATCACTCCCAGGTTTGGGTTCCACGGATTCGGCTCCGTTCCCGTGTCCTTCCACGGGATATTTGTGTGGGACGAGGAACGCTCAGCTGGAGGGACGGGGGAGGCACCGCGGGGAGAGGACCTTGGAGGGATTCCCGGGGGGAATGGGAGCCTCCTCTTTGGAGTTCCATGGCTCAGGGGTGGCTCAGGGCTCCTCCTGAGCTCCTCTCCTCTGGGAGATGCCCAAGAATCATGGAATCACGGAATGGGTTGGGTTGGGAGGGACCTGAAAGCCCATCCAGTTCCACCCAGGGACACCTTCCACTCTCCCAGGTTGCTCCAACCTGGCCTTGGACACTCCCAGGGATCCCGGGGCAGCCACAGCTTCTCTGGGAAATCCATTCCAGCCCCTCCCCACCCTCCCAGGCAGGAATTCCTTCCCCATATCCCATCCCTCCCTCTGGCAGTGTGAACCCATCCCTTGCCATTAACACCACAGTGGGAGGTGGATCCCAGGGAAATCCAGGACCCCCTTCCCGGACTCCACACTGGGCTGGAGCTTTTGGGCTGGAAAAGCCTTTTTTCCTAATATTTCCTCCCCAGCTGCAGCCCCTGCCCCTCATCCCACAGCTCCTGCTTTCCTGGGAAGCTCCAAAGCTCTGAAGGAGCAGGAGGTGGGACAGGGACGTTCACGGGCCAACTCCATGACCAGCTTCCCAAACCAGGATGGTTTTCCCAAGGGAACATCCACATCTCCCTGCAAAGTGGGGTTTGTTACATCACATCCCATCATCCCGTAGGATCCTGGGGAAAACCAGGATGAGGGATCTATTCCTGCCTCCCATTCTGCTGCTTTTATTTTAAATTAACGATTTGCAGCTTTTCTCCTCCCTTTTTTTCCCCCCCCCTATTTTACGGGAACTAAACCAAAACCACGCTCCTGTAAATTCCAAATGCTGATGGACAGGGATGGGGAAGGGATTCATGGAGGGTTTGTGTCCATGGTTGGGATCCCAGCACTGGACACATCCCACAAACCACCCCAGGGGGCAACATTTGGGTCCAGAGGTGCTGCAGAGGCACAGGGAGAGCCCAACCAGAACTGCTCAGGGATAGATGGAATACTGGGAAAGAATTCCAGCCTGTGAGGGTGGGAAGGCCCTGGCACAGGTTGCCCAGAGAAGCTGGATGAGGGTAATTAAAGAATCCTGGAATGGTTTGGGTGGGAAGGGACCTTAAAGATCATCTCATTCCACCCTTGCCATGGGCAGGGACGTGGCAGGGACATCCCACTCTCCCAGGTTGCTCCAACCTGGCCTTGGACACTTCCAGGGATCCAGGGGCAGCCACAGCTTCTCTGGGCAACCTGTGCCAGGGGCTCCCCACCCTCACAGCCAGGAATTCCTTCCCAATATCCCATCCATCCCTGCCCTCTGGCAGTGGGAAGCCATTCCCTGTGTGCTGTCCCTCCCTGCCTTGTCCCCAGTCCCTCTCCAGCTCTCCTGGAGCCCCTTCAGGCCCTGCCAGGGGCTCTCAGCTCTCCTTGGAGCTTTCCCTTCTCCAGGCTGAACAATCCCAGCTTTCCCAGCCTTTCCTCCCAGCAGAGCTGCTCCATCCCTCTGCTCATCCAGGTGCCCCCTCTGGACTCTCTCCAACAGCTCCACATCCTTCCTGCTCCAGAGCAGGACCCGGAATTCCTCCCCAGCCCCAACTCCTTCCCTTGGGCAGGAAGGAGAATCCATTCCCCGTGGAACTGCCACGTTGCCGAGCAGCAGTGGGGTCTTCCCCAGTAGGAAATGCCTCTTCCCCATCTCCACATGCCCACCAATCCCAGATAAAAGCCCTCGAGGAAGCCACGAATTGGAAGTGAAGCGATACCTACGGGAGGCGGGGCCCCGGCGGGAGGGAGGGTAATTAGTGCAGAGCTGGTCACGCCCTCGGCAAGCTACAAATCAAAAGGATCCGTTAGCCATGGAATTAGAGGGAAAAGGGGGAGCACACATGGGCAAAAGCACCACTGGGGAGAAATCAAAGCCATTAATCCAAGGAAATCCGCCCTGGGGACGAGGCCTCCCGGGACGAGGCAGCCTCGGCAGGGTTTGGGTTTTTAGGGATGTTCAGCAGATTGGACACGGTTACAGGGAATGGACGGGATGCCAGAGGGGGAAATGTGGGATGGAAAAGCTGTTAATGCTTTCCAGCGGAGCAGGGAATCTCCCTGGGCACAACGGGGCACGTTCATCCCGGGAGCCCGGGGGGGGTTTAAAGGGATCAGCAAAGCTCAGGACCAAGGCCCAGCTCCAAGCTCAGCCTGTCCTGGGCGGCCCAAGAGCTGCCATCCCTGCCCTGGGCACCAAGCTCTGCTCCTGCTGCCCAAGGCTTGGTCCCTTGGAGGTGGGAGAGGGGGACAAACGAGAATATTCTTCCCAGAAAACATCAGCCCCATCCCACCAGCATTCCCTGAGCTCCTCCCCCAACACGCTGCTCTGAGCCCCACCCCGGACCTGAAACCAGCTGAAAACACCCCATTTCCAGCTGAAAACACCCCAATCCCAGCTGCTCCACGGGGAAAACATTCCCCAAGGCTCAACTCCAACCAGGACCCCCCCCCAGCTCCGGGAGGCTGCTGGGAACGGCCTCTCCATGATTTATCCACGAGCAGAAGGACAAAGCCCTGCTCATCCCTTGGGGCTGCACATGGACACCAGGGATGTCCTTCCCGAGCTGCTTCCCAGGGGAATGACCCCGTGGAGAACAGGGAATGCAGAGCAGGCAGGACTTCAGCCCTTCCAAAACCCCGCTCCAGGTCCATCTCCCAAACTAGAAGGGATCAGCCTGGAAAAGCAGCTTTTCCGTGGGTTTGAGGAGCTTTTCCCATCCCTCTGGATGACCACGGTGTGGTTCACGTGCACATCAAGTGCTCTGAACTCCAGCTGAACTCCTCTTCCCCCCTGGATGGGGGGGTCAACACTCCCCAGCCCTGGAGCAGGGGGGGATTCACCTCTGCTTGTTTTCCCCGTTCCCGAGGAGGACAACAGAGGGATCCTTTGTTCCCAACATCCATCGGAGCAGGGAGCAAGGCCAGGCCTGGCAAGGAGGGAGAAAAGCTCTGGAGCCACCCACTGAAGCACAGCCCTGCACAATCCTGGCTCCTGCTTCCAAGGTCACGGCTGGGAGAGCCCTGGGAATGGGCTCCTGGGCTGGGATCCATCCCTCTTTCCCAGGGAGAAGGAACAGGATGGTCTCTGCAGGCTGGGAGAGCCCTGGGAATGGGCTCCTGGCCTGGGATCCATCCCTCATTCCCAGGGAGAAGGAGCAGGATGGTCTCTGCAGGCTGGGAGTGCTCCTTGACCCCCCGGATCTGCCCCCAAACGGGAGCAGGGCGGGGTGAGAGGACCCTGATGATCCACTCACGTCCCAACCCTGACCACCTCCAGGGCAGGAACAGCTTCCAGCGCCAGGATTCAGGGGTCAGGGAGGGAGAAGGTGGGAATTTCGGTTTGGCTTTCCAGGAACAAGCTCCCTCCTCTCCCAAAACAAAAAGGGAAAGACAAACAAACAAACTAACAGAGGACAAACGTGGGGGCAAAGTGAACAACTCGGCTCAGGGCAGGGGTTGTTTGGGAAGTGTTTGTTCCCATAAAACATCATCCAAATCTTCCCCTCTGGAAGGGCTGGAGCGGAGGGGTTTGGCTTTGCCACATCCCTCTCCCCCTTTTCCTCCCGTTTCAGCTGTTCCCTGAATTTGATGGGAGTTGGGAGATGTTTTTCCATCGGCTTTTAACCACCCCAAGGAACAACGTATGGATTGCAAACCTCTCTCCTGTCCCTTCCTCTGGGATCTCTGCAGCTCCTGTGCTGATTCCCCACTCCTGGGAGCAGCCCCTGGAGCTCCAAACGCTGGGAACATCCGTACAGAGGGGGGGGTGTGTCCCTATCCAGGGGTTTCATCCCCCAAAAGCTGATGGGAGATGTGTGTTGGTCACATCCCCATGAAATCCCTGCGAGGTTTTGGGTGGGAGAGCCCCGGAGATCCCAGGGATTCCCAGAGGGAAGGGCTGAGCTGCTCCAGCTCTCCCAGCTCCAGGAGCATCACAAGAAAGGTGCTCATGACTACTGTTGTCCTGGAGGATTTTTGGGAAGAAAGCCCTGCCTGTGGGTCCCAGAATCATGGAATCAGGGAATGGGTTGGGTTGGGAAAGACCTTAGAGACCATCCAACCCCACCCCTGCCATGGGCAGGGACACCTTCCACTGGCCCAGGTTGCTCCAAGCCCCGTCCAGCCTGGCCTTGGACACTTCCAGGGATGGGGACTTGGAGTGGGAGCACCAGCCTGGGGGTGGGATAAGTGGCCAGGACAGGGCCAGTCCAGGCTGGAGTCCCACAGCCACGGGATTGGCTGGGAACTGGCCAAAATCTTCATTCCCAGCCTGATTTGGGCTCCCAGGCCGAGCCCACCCTGGGACACGCCCCCGGGGATCCAATGGCACCACGGAATCCTTGGGAATAGAAACGCTGGGGAGCCACCAAGGGGATGGACAAGGAGCAGGACTGATGCCCAAGTGCCACATCTTCCTGCCCACCCCTGGAAGTGCCCAAGGCCAGGAAAGGCGAGGCAGGAGACACCCGAGGGGCAGATCCTTCCCCAAAGCTCAGGCTCTTCCAGCCCGAGGTTCCCTGCGGCACCTCCAGCCTTTGGAACGGGGGGGAAAGGCAATTCCAGCACGTGCCCAGGACACCAAAGGGACAGGAGACCACGGGAAGCTGCACCAAACGTTCCTGGCACCACTCCCAGGGCCACCAGGATCACCTGTGGATCACCTGTGGATCTGCCCAGCCCGGCACAGGCAGGGCTGTCCCAGAGGGGACACCCCTGCTGGGGCAGGAACACGGGGATTACGGGAATGGGAAGCTCCAGGGAGGAGAACAGCAGCTCCAGGGGCGTGTCCAGCCTGATCCACCCACGAGGGACAGCTGAGATCCCTCAAACTCACGGCACAGGGAGCTTGGAACACCCCCCTCCTTCCCTGCCTGAGCTGTGCAGCTCCACAGAGCCTGGATTGTGGATCCTGGAGCTGCTGGAAGCAGCAACGGGGTTTGGAAGTAGCAAAGGAACCTTCCAAGAGGAAAAGTGGGAAAAGGAGACCTGGCGTGGGGTGAGGATGATGGAACCTCGGGGAATCTTTGCTTCCAGCCTGGCCTTGGGAAAACTGTCCCATCATCTCCCAGCACCAGTTCACCTCCCAGTGCTGGGATAAATCCCTCCAAGGGATTATTTATCCCTCCCATCCCCTCTTTGGGACAGTGCCTGTCCTTCCCAAGGGGTGACTCCAGACCTTGTCCAGCCTCAAACCAAACCCCGCAGTGAGGAGGAGACGCTGAAGGAAGAGCCTGGTGTGGAGAGAGTCCCTTGTCCTCTCCCAGAAGAGCCAACCCAGCCCCTCACACGGAAAGCAGGGAAGGAGGATGAGTTTGGGGATGTGCAGGTGGAGGGGGGGGGTGGAAGGGGATGGAAGCTTCAAAGGGAGGGAGAGAACCAGCCAAGGCCTCCCAGGGCATCACTTCAGCCCTCCAGCCTCCCAGGGTCCCCCAGAGCACCCAGAGGATCCCGCTGTCCCCCCCTGCCCTGTTTTCCATACCTGGACAGGGAGCAGGGGCTCCTTGTCGTCGATGTCGATGAGGACGTCGTCCCCGGGCGTGAGGCTCACGTCGTCTGCAGGGAGGGCACGGCATGGCAGGGCAGCCAGGGGCACCCAGAGCCTTGGGGTGACACCCTGCACCCCACCCAGAGCCCTCACACCACCCATGGCTCGTGTCCATGATCCCAACCTCATCCAGACCCTTTGCACCACCCACAGCTCCTGTCCCTGATCCCAACCTCATCCAGACCCTTCACACCACCCACGGCTCCTGTCCCTGATCCCAACCCCACCCAGACCCTTCACACCACCCACGGCTCGTGTCCATGATCCCAACCTTGTCCAGAGCCCTCACACCACCCACGGCTCCTGTCCCTGATCCCAACCTCATCCAGACCCTTCCCACCACCCATGGCTCCTGTCCATGATCCCAACCCCTCCCAGAGCCCTCACACCACCCATAGCTCATGTCCCTGGTCCCAACCACATCTTCACAATCCCAGCCTTGTCCGGGCCCTCCACAGAACCCAAAAACTCATCCTCACGATCCCAACCTCTCCCAGAGCCCTCACACCACCCACAGCTCATGTCCCTGATCCCAACATTGCCCAGTCAGAAATCCCAAAGCAGAGACACCTTGGGATCAACATCCATCAACCTCATCCAGACCCTTCACTCCACCCAAAAATTCATCTTCGTGATCCCAACCCCACCCAGAGCCCTCACACCCCCCACGGCTCCTGTCCCTGATCCCAACCTCATCCAGGCCCTCACAGCACCCAAAGTTCATCTTCCTGCAGGTTGACCAGCCTGGCCCAAGGACAGCCCATCCCACCAGCCAGTCCCAGATCTAAACTCATCCTTGGCACCTCCCGGGGTTTTTGGACCAGGACTAGAGCTGGGCTGAGCTCAAAGCCACGTGGGCAGCGACCCACGGCTCCTCCTGGAGAAGGGAGGGCTCCAGGAAGGCTTGGACAAGGACATGGAGGGACAGGACAAGAGGGAATGGATCGAGCTGAGGGAGGGTTAGGTGGGTTAGGTGGGATGTTGGGAAGGAATTCCTCCCTGTGAGGGTGGGGAGGGGCCGGGATAGAATTCCCAGAGAAGCTGTGGCTGCCCCTGGATCCCTGGGAGTGTCCAAGGCCAGGCTGGAGCAACCCGGGCTGGTGGGAGGTGTCCCTGGGCGGGCCTGGACGATCCTTCAGGTCCCTCCCCACCCGCCCCATTCCCTGCTCCGTGAGGATCCCGTGCCAGCCCATCCCGTACCTCCGTGCCCGGGGGGCCGGGCGGTGTCCTGGCCGGAGGGATCCCACCGGAAGGGCTCCAGGGAGCGCACGGAGCACTGTCCCACCACGGGCCGGCGCCCGAAGGGACGGTTGTCCAGGACCTTGATGACGATGGGGGGGCTGTAGAGGCTCTCCTTGGGCAGGCGCTGCGGGAACGGGGGGGGTCAGGACACGGGGCAGGGGGGCAGAGCTGCTGCCCCACCCCACAGGGAACGGGGGCAGAACCAACTGCACCACGAGGGGCTTGGTTATGGGGCTCCAGGGCCCTTCACCGGAAAACCCACTGTTATGGGACTCTGAGGTTCTCCACCATAAGATTCATTTTTGTGGGACTCCAGGTCCTTCACCAAAAGATTAATTTTAATGGTGCCCCCAGGTCTTTCACTGTAAGGTTCATTTTTATGGAGCTCTGAGGTCCTTCACCACAAGATGCCTTTTTATGGGACTTTAAGGTCATTCACCATAAAATCCACTTTATGGGACTCTGAGGTTCTTCTCCACAAGATTCATTTCTATGAGACTTTG